TAATGATTAATCCGTAATTGTAGCGACTAGTAGTGACCAATGGTAGAAGGACACAAGAGGGAAGTGATTGAAGAGGAAGTCTGAATCCTTGACCAACGCGTTTTACCCACTTCTACCTCATATGTAACATCAGTTATGCTTTCTCAGAACAAGCAAGCTGCGAAGCTGAAATCTGCAAATTACATTAGCGGTTGGGCGAGAGACAGGATGGGATAATAATGAAACTAAGTGGGAGGCAAGGCGAACATTAGTCGAGCGTCCCAGTTCTTAGTTTAACACGTGGTTGATAATCTGGCCAGAGTGATGTTGGGGCTCTTTTTGGATTGTATGTTCGTGAAATATGCCACAGCCAGCTTTTCGTTGGTAGCAGGTACAATAAAAACAAAGGTTCGCAGGTTATCATATCTACTTTACTGCATTATTTGGTGTTGAATTGTCCAGGGATATCTTTAGGACTGGGGATATTTAGTGAGAATTTATGAGGAATTGGCAGGGTGTTGCCTAACCTGTTGTTAGGAACGGTCCGACTCACGTAACATCCAGATGGGTAGCTCACAAAAAGGTGTTTTGAAGTAGGAAGGAGAAGAGAAGGGGGAATAATATTGAGAAATTAATAAAAGTGAAAGTAGTAAAATTATTTTGACAAAATTATAATGCTAAGAAACTATAAAATTGTAAAATAATATTAAGAAATTGTAATATTAAGAGAATATTAAGAAATTAGTTAAAACAGTAAAATTATTGGAAGCTAAAACACGCATTGCGGATGGCGTGGTGCTTTTTACACATCCCTTGTTCTGCAGTTGAAATGCTGCAGGTGCTCAGTGCACGAAGAAAAGAAGTGGGCAAGAAAATTAGCGATTTTATGAAATAACCCAAAATATCGGTATACCGCGGCAAGATTGCGAATCGACAATTTTATCTGGGAGAAAGTTGACAGCTATGTCTATCTTGTTCAGAAGCAAATATGCACCGCAGTTTTAGGCCTGAGAGACCGTGTGTAGAAAAGGGTCCTAGTTGGAGTAAATTTCACAACGTATCGATGATTCCCGAAATGTTAGATCAGGGTAACTATGCCCGCAAATCACTCTGCAGAAGAAACTGATGCTCCGATACGAAACGTGTTCACTGACGAAAATTGGAGAGCAGTCGTTGGCTGTGGCGGAGATCTGTCGTGTTTCTTGATGACAGTATAAATAATTGGACTCTCTGTCAGATAAGCGATGTGTAGAGCATACTTGCCAGTTACACGAGAAAGTAAAATACAAGGGTATACCCTGTTGGTCGCCCTCTCA